CATCTCAGCAGGCCACACCCGTCTCACAGGGGCTGTGCGGCTGAGTGGTTGTAGCAGGTTACCCCATCTCCAGTGCTGTGTGGGACCCAGCAGAGCAGAATAGAGCTCACAATGTGTCTGGGCTGCCAACCAGAGGAAATGTCCACTGGAGTTTTCCAGACACCAGATTATCCTATTCACTAAGCTGTGATGCACAATATAGTCCACACACAACCCATGGATGGCTCTCAATAATAACCGAAGAGGAGCATGCATACACAGATGTGGACCACCTTTCCAAGGTGAATTAACAACAGACAGAGTCCTCTGGTGGAGGCCTCCAAGTAGGAGCAACAAAAATCTGTTTGCACAAACAAATGTCCCTTGCCAGTTACCATGTGATCTGGTGTTTCTCCTGACCCATGAATTGTGCGCTTCAAACACCAGCAGCTACTAGATGCAGGAGCTTGCATAAGGAATGGTTCTTTTAACCTGCAGTTCAGGTTTCCTTTTGGCCCAATAACTTTTATGCTGCATGGGACAACACGTCTGATGAGCAGCAAGGAGCATGTTGTCTGGAATGCACTTGATAATGTTTATGGAATGAAATAATAAATAGATGAGTGAAAAACTGCCCCAGGTCCTGGGATGACAAATAGATGAGAAAAGAGAAAGGAAGAAAGTATATTAAGTACCTCCTGCATCCATTTATACATACATATTTTATCTTGCTTAATTCCCTGAATAACCTCAGATGGTCAGTTGTACGGACCAGGAAACTGAAATGTACAGTTGTTAAATAATTTACCTCGAGTTGCAGGAATGCAAGAAGCAGAACTGAGTTTCAACCTTAGGCGGTCTGACTTCAAAACAATATTCCTTTCCAGAATGTGGTACTGAATTTGAAGGCAGGGAAGAAATATTTTCTGTCTCTATCAAGGGTTTAGGATGAAGAAAGCATGTGATTGGAAGAATCCTCACCTGCAGCCCATTCCCTGCTCTTCACCATGTTTTGAGAGAATGATGGAGGGTGTGTGCCCTCATCTCCCCATATTCTGGCTGGTTCATCTTCAGCTTGTTTGGGCTCTGGCACTATACATATTTTGTCCTGGTAGATGGTGACCTAGTTCTGTTTTGTTACAACCCTGCCACTCCCTTCCCCAGCAAGGTAGTGAAGCACACATTAAATGCTTTTCTGAATGGGTCATTGATTTCCCTACGCCCTTCATCCCCAAAGTGCCACATAAAATGCCCCCACATAGTTATGGTCATTGCTGCACCAGTCGCTGCAAGTAGAATGTAAGAGAAAACATAGTCATCATTTTTAGGACTCCATATGTACGGTCTGTCTGTGTGGAGGGTGGTGGCAATTTCCCAGCTTCCTCTATCACCTCTCTTTGCTGCTCTTTCTCTCTCGCTTTCTGATAAGGAGACACCTCGATATTTCTGCATTTGGCTGCTCCCCCAAGAACATGAATTGCACTTTAGAAACAGTGATAGGCACATGTCCAAGTTCTGTGGGGCTCAGAGCAGCTCAGGGATCACTCTTAAAGTCATGAGCCTCGAAGTACTGGCCAATGTAAATGGCTTGTCCCTGTTTCTCCTGGGCAGTCATCCTTTAAGTCATTTCATATGATGTGCACAATTTAACAGGGGCGAAGCTGACACATCCCTGCCTTTGATTTCTCAGTCCGCCTTCAGTTCTCCGTGGATAAGAGTGATGATAATGAATGGAAAGTTTAGGGTCGTTCTTTTCCTAGTTCAGTATTAGACCAAAAGGAAGACAAGGGTGACCCTCAGTTTCCAAGGGACACCAGGAATTGGAAAATCCAATCAGAGGCTTACCATTACAATGATATTTGCCTCCCTGTTCCCACTCAAGTCCATTGCTGTCAGCTTACCCCAGCCTCCCAGACTCCTTCCAGAGGAAGAAACAGGGTGAGCCATGCTTCTTGGAGGCTGGTGTACCAGATGGCAGAGACACCTTTGCTGCCCCACCCCCCAGCACTCTGTTCAGCTGTTGCAAGCACAGCTGGGACAGAACACTGTCGCTCCCATCTTGGCAGTGGGAATTCTCCAAAGCAAGTGAAGGCCTTGTGCCCAACCCTGCACAGTCTGACCTTGAAGGGACTTTGGTCTTCTTCTGGGTTTCCCAGAAGATAGCATGGGTTTTCCAATTTCATAGGTGCCCACGACAAGAAATTTAAAATAAGACTTGGAAGCCATTTGACTAACCATGCTGTTTGAGACTCAGTTGTCTGTCACCAAGAGAAGGACACCTCACCTTAGGCACAGGCATTTAGACTTTCTGCTCGTGATGATTCACCCTGCCTCCAGCTCCTCCACTGTCAGAATTGGAGCTTCTCCTCTGCTTTTCTTGGGGTTCTTATTGTCAGTTCCAAAGTCCCCTCTGCTGTTTACCGGTGAGTGCCCCATTTATGTAAATGGAATCTCAGAATCTAGAATAATTCTCGTGTCATGCCAGAGGATTAAGCACATTTATTTACTACTTAACTCCCTGCATACAGGAAAGATATTGCTCCCATACCATCCTGCCTCTGTAAAAGGACACCCAGCCCTCTGCCCCTTAGCTTCTACCTTTCCTCTGCTGCAAGAGTCGGCAAAGTCTCTGGGTTGAGCTTGCTCCTCCCACCCAAGGGGTGCAATCTTAGCACAGACAGGTGAGTTGCCTAAAAGGTCCCTGAGTTTTTTTTATTACTGCCATTAACATGAATGCAGCACTATTAGAATGTGCAGGGAATTTTAGATGGACATTTTATCCTTTTGTTACCAAGGCTTTTCAGAAGATAAAATATACATTGTACTGCATGGAGTGTATGAAAGTTCAGTGAAATATGATAATGCTGCTTCACACGCTGTTCTCTTGGGTATGATATCAGGAAAATGTTTTTCTCTGACAGCTTCTTATAATGGATAAAAATATTCCCTCTCGTTGCACACACAGGGCAAGGTTTGAGGCATATTATTGGAGTCAGGTAATCTGCCTCTGAAATACTGGTATTTGAAAAGCAAATTTAAGGCTTACGACATTTTCACTTTATGATCATTGACACTGATGTTAGTAAACTCTTTCTCTAGCTATGAAGAAGAGAAATGGCAGGCAAGTTTTCTTTGTTTTTTTTTTTCCTAGTTGCCATTTGCTTTTTAGTGACTGCACCATATGGAGCACAGTAAATAAACTATCAAGGCGGCAGGATGCATTGGAAAAAGGAAGGCACTTGGACTCCAGTGGTCTTTAAGCAAGTTACCTTACCTTCTTGAGCCTCCTCCTGACCTACATAGTGGAATGAATGTTGAAGAATTGTGGTGAGGATCACAGCTTGTTGGAAGACTGTCATCACTGTGCCTCGCACATGGTACTTCCACAATTAAATTTGAGTTTAACAGAGAAGTAACCAACCCTGGTATTACACCAAGACTACCCATGTAATAATATGCTTGTGATTGGAAGGTAATATCATTTATGCCATCAGTGTTACAGTACTTTTTAGTCCCTAAAAGAGGCAGAGGGACTATATAGAACATAGTAAAATATATGCTAAGTCTGGAGGCCTTACAGAACACATGCTGTGCTATCTGTACTTCCTAGTCCTCATGAAGTACAGTAATTCATGTAAATTGCTTGTGTAATTGCTCATGTAATTTATAATAGGGCAAATAACCATGCCTAATGGTCTGTTTTGCCTATCCCTGAAGCCACAAATTATTTGGCATAGAGTAGGTAAACCATTAAATACGCATTGAAATCATTGGTGGTACTTGCTAAATATTTGTTGTATTTATTTGGGCCAGGATAACCAAACTAGGACTATCCAGAGATGTGAAATGCATTATAACTCCTAAAGTGTTCCCTAGAAAATGACAAGTAGATAATTCAAAACGTTATGGATGAAACAAAAGATTCACCATCATATCAAATGTAGTGTTTCACTGTAGACCAGCCAGACTTCTACTTTAATTTCCAGCCTCCTTTTGGTAACTCTTTACCATTTTATCTCAGTCTCTTGAGCTTCTTCTGGATTGTTCTTTTGCATCATTCCAACCAGCAGTCTCATCTCAGCCCCTCAACCCTTTCAATGGGCCATATATTTAGTGTCTGTCACAATACAATAGAATTCAAATGACATGTCAACTAATTGGTCTGATAATGCTCTGCAGAATGAGTCATCTCCTCTAACTCTTCACTTGCTCCCAACTTATAAACTTTATAAGCCATATATGGGAATAAACATCAGAGAAATGAGCAATGTTAATTCACTCATTAAATTTGATAAGCAAATAATATGGATGATCATTCTCTGAATCGTCACAACATGTTTGTGAGTTAGGCAAGGCAGGGTTTTTTAAAGCTATTGCCTCAGTAATGCTATTGAACAAATAGCTATAAAATCTTGATTTTATAAAACATAAGCATGTATCATTTCTTTTTTTTTTTTTCTTTTTGGTACTGGGAATTACACTTGGCCACTAAGCCACATCTCAGCCTTATTTTTTTTAGAGACAGGGTCTCACAGAGTTGCTTAGTGCCTCACTGTTGCTTAGGCTGGCTTTGAACTTGTGATCCTCCTGTCTTGGCCTCCCAAGCCACTGGGATTGCAGTAATGCGCCACTGCACCCGACTAAGCAGGTATCACTTTTTGCTGGTAAATTTTCAGGTCTGCAGGGGCGGGTCTGATTGGAGCATCAGGTCAAATGTGTTCTGTTGTCTAGCAGGTATCTAGAGCATGTCCTGCTGAACTGAGATCAGAAGCTCTTAGAGGGGGCAACTGGAGGTACACCATGCCACATAAGCATTTGTTCAAAATCAGTCCACTGTCACTTCTGCCATATTGCATTAGTCAACATGCAGGACCAAGAGGGACTTCCACCCTCATTTCTTTCCACAACCCAGGCTGCCTTTTATTTGAGAAACATAAAACAGTTCAAAGTTAACAAAGTGATATTTTGAAAGGTGATAATTTACCAAATTGTGTCCCCCTCCCCTCTCCTGCCAATGACAGGTGTCTTTAAGATTCATTTCATGTTATGAAACTCAAGTTTATGAGCAGTTCCAAGGAGTTGCCATTGGCATTTTGCACAGAATATTGTGTCATGGGCACTTCCTGAAGGAACCTCAGGTAAGAAATTTCATCTCTAGGTTCAATATAAAACTTGCTTCCTCTGAACAATCCATGAGCCTCCCCCCATTGTGAGAAGTGTGATGTCCCTTTCCCTTTGAGTGTCAGCTCTTCAGAGATACCCTTGCACTTGTAATAAAATGGGAAGGACTTTATAACATGCTGACTTCCTCTCTGAATCCTGTTGTTCCATTCAAATTTATTTTAACTTGCTTTTGCTGGTGGTTGTTATAAACAGCATTAGATGAGATGTTTGGCTTTGTTTGGTTCTGTTAACCACATCCAGTCATTTGTGGAATGAGCCAGGATAGGAGAAAGAACAAAACAAATAATTAAATGAAGCTGTGCACTGTCAGGAGTACCTGATTAAGAAGGGGGAAATCAGCTCATCTGTTTCTCTACTCTCTGGTTTTTATTAATTGGTAGAGGGATATTCTGTTTATAATCAAAATTAAAGCAAATCTTTGGAGATTAAGTTTTTTTAAAAGAGCTTAAGGGCAGGATCAGAGGGGATTCCGCACATTGTCTCTGGCTCTCCCCTCTCACACTGTCCCCCACTCTAAGCCTCTCTCGCCCCCACCACCAGCCTGAACCCACAGAAGGACATGAGCTTCCCCTTCTGCTGTTAATTCCTATCACTCGGCTTCTGGGGCGGGGCTGGTTTCAATCACTCTAGTCACTAGGATTTGAAACGAAAATACAACAGATATAAGTCAGAACAGATAGATGAAGCAGAGCAACATTTCATTTCATGTCTACAGGTTTTAAAACTGAAGCAGAAGATTTTTTCTAATGGCAGAGAGAGTGGAAGGAGTCTCAATATAAAAAGAGCCAGTGCAGCAGAAACAAAGGATGGGACTCTGGGTTGGCTTGCAAGCTGTTGAGGAAAAGGGTCTTTCTCAACACTCTTGTTACCTCCTGCGATTAACATGGAGGAGACATGAACATTGCAGAAGAGTGCATCCTGCAAATCTCTGAGGGACTATATTGCCTCCTAAGAGAGTAGGATGCTTTTTCTGGGAAACCAAATTATAAAAAGCAGAATCTCTCACTGACTATTAAATAAAAAGCTATCAAAAGAACATCTGTAGAAGATGCCTTGAAATGGGGTCTTTGTCCTTTGAATGGATGATTAGACATTGACAGGTTCCGTCTCCTCTCAACACTATAATTTTGCTCTTGTAAAAGGGGTTGCTTTTCATTTCTAATATTTGCCATGTTTCTTCAGGGTAACATGACTCCAAATAACTTGATAGAAAGAGCAGAGGACGCCAAGTTTCCCTCTTTTAAACTTGCAGCCCTTGCCTCTAAGTTCCACCTGGCTCATGTGGCTTCACTTTCCCTTGACCTCATGGTGAGAAGCTCTGTGCCCACTCTTCAGGTAAGCAGTGACTCATTCTGCAAGCCTGACCTGTAATTCTGGAGAAGTCGGTGCTCCCCTTCAGTACACTTGTGCAGAGATGGCATTTAGTTTTCCAGAGTGAGCTCAGTACACCTTTCACCTTCTGCCTCATCTGTGATGAGGAAAGGGCTGCACATTTACAACGCTTGAATGAAAAGGGCTCTGGGACTTCACTGTGGAAAAGAGAGCATGGCTTCTCTGCAACACCATGTGTGCTGGTGTATGCATGCACTAGACTAATGGTCCTCCCCAATCCACAGAGGCCTCTGGAACTCTAGTTTTTGTAGAGAACCAGATAAAACTCAAGTCAAGAAATCAGTTATGAAAACCAAGGACGTTTTATTCAGTGAGAGTGGCCTATTTTACTAATGTCTTTGCATCCATATCAGATTAGCATAATCAGAGTTTGATTCTCTCTGCCTTTGGACAGATGTCACAGTACATAGCTTTCCTAGTGATTTGGTAAAGTAGGTACTAAACACATCCCTGGAATATGAGCTGTGATGCTCTGGCTCTTAATCCAGTGGATGAGATGGGAGTCGTTTGGAAGGTACCGCACTGATCCCTAACTGAACTGTCTTTTTATTTAGTAAGTGAGTTTATATTTCCCCAAGAGTCAGGAATAAAGGTGGTCAGTATACTCAACTAACTCTTCCTATTGTCTGCCTTCTATTTTATCTTGGTGTAAAGCAAGCTAATACGAAAAGTATTAAAGTGCAAGCCAATAATAGGAAGATATGAAGTTGAATGCTCTCAGAGGAAAATTCGGCTTCCTAACAAAATCTAATCTAGCAAGCAGGAGCTGTCAACATGATAAATATTCTAGTCTTTAATATCAGTTTACATACCAGAGTGGAAGAAAAGGAGAAATTATTCACACATTCAAAATTTGTTAAAATGATGTTGTTTAACATCAAGTGACAGAAGCCTGTGGAAATTCAAAGTTAAGATGGAATCCTTTGGCTGATCCTGATTCTGGGCTCTCTGGAGGACTCCTGATGTGTTGATGCCACCAAAGTAATTACATCGTCACACATGAGCACTCCCAGGTTCAACATTTGTGGGAATGAGTTTTTTTCAATTAATCTCTGTGCCTTCGCTAACTCCAGGTTTCATCTGGCATCGGGAGCATGCAGCAGCAAGGGCACAACGTCAAATGGAACCAGACCTGAGGTTACAAATTAGAAGAACCTGGATGGCCATGTCTGTGCACACTGGTTTTGGAATTATGCAGAACTGGGTCTGACCCTATATCTGTTATATTATTCACTTATTTTCCAACTTGTTATTGAGCATCTACTATGTGCCAAGCACTTCTCTAGGCTCTGAATAGATAATGCTGGTGGAGTGTACATTTTAATGGCAATATTACAGATCATCAATTACAGGAAACAGATTCTGAGGCAGATACATACATATAGGAAGTTGATTGAAAAGGGCTCTTGGATTTAACTGTTGTTGGGGGAAGGAGGGAATAAAAGACTGAACTTGCAATACAACATCAATAAAGGCTGCAGCTTATCCCATGGGGAGCTCTGAAGCTGGTCCCCCATAGGGATGTGTGAGACCCCACAGGTGCACAAGCCAGTCATTGACTGCAAGCTTTCTTAGAGTGGGTGTGATTTCACCAGCCAAAGAGTCATGAACTCCAAGCAGGTGATGAAATAATAAGAATGTCACTTACTAGCCAAGTGACCCTTCCATTCCCTGTTCCAAGAGAAGGGGAAGAAAAATATGCCCAATGAAACAACTGTGATTGAGAGCTTACTTGATGATACCTTCTTTTAGATCCATTTTCAATTAATCCTTACAAGACTATAAGGTCAGGAAGGATATTTCTACCTGGTCCTCAGTGAGAACTCTCTGCCCCTCAAATCCCATTTTTCCAAATCCACATTGGTGTCTTTGCTGCAAGAGGAGAATCAAATGCAATTTCTAGGGCACCGATTGATAACTCTTAACCTCCAGTCTTGGGGCAAATCTTCAAACACTTACTTACCATCATGAAAAGAATATGGGGAGCTTACCGGAATCTTTGATAGTTGAGATTCTTGTGCATCTTATAATTATCTATCACATCACACTAATTACAGAGCAAACAAAACAGCCACCTTAGAAGACTGGGAACATGCAAGCAGCTCTCTTTAATGTTTTTAAATCTCTTTGAAAATATGAGTAAACTGAGGTTTAGAGGGATTAAGTGATTCACCCAAGCTTATGCAACTCCACAGTGACGGAAAAAGGTTCTGAAAGCAGATCTAAAAGAGGCTCAAGAGCTCCTAAATCATGTGGTTTTATTACATTCACCACCTCCTGTGGCCACCAGAAGCAGAAGGAGCCTAAATAGAGGCTTCCTCATCCAGCCTGCAAAGAGGAGTCAGGGACGGATTAGAGGAGGAATTGACCCCTCCTGGCCATGTGCTTAATAAATAAGGAAACCGAGATAGAACTTGCTCCATGTGTATAAAAGAGATTTCAAATGCATATTTTTATTGTGAGATTTTTGAAGACTTTTTAATCACTTTCACACTTACCACATGATTTTTTTTTCTGTTCCCTGGTTAAAAATCCCTAGAATATATTTGAGGAGCTCTGGGAGTGCTTCGTGGGCAGAGGATGGATGAACCTGGGGGGCAGTCTTAAGCTGCAGTGGCAAGTGGCTGTATTCAACCCTGGATCTGGGAGGGTGAAAGGTAAGATACAAAGATCTGGCAGGAGGAGGAGAGATTGGTGGTTGAGGAGTGGGTAAGCTGGAGAGATAAGCAGGTTAGGATCAGGAAAGTTCTCCTCTGGTTTTCTATAGATAGGCAGCCTCATTCTTCCACAATGGTCAAAGGAGAGAGCAAAGTAGACATCACTGACTTGATCAAATGACCTAACTTTGTAAAAGGGTTTTTCATAACCATATTTTTTCTTGCTTCAAGGGTGATGAACTTGTCTTGGCTTGCTCAGGATTTTAACATTGAAATTCTCACATCCCCCAAAGCCCCTCAGTCCCTGGCAGATAGGGATGGCCAGCCACCTCAAGGAGTGTAGACATACCAGACTCACAGGAACTGCCACTCAAGCATGCTACCTCTGGTCTCCCTCCCCCCCCCCATGTACATCAGGCCAAGGATCTTCCACATATAGAGCAGGCCAAAGATTTCCCATTTTTGTTTAAAAGAGATGGCAACTCTTGTGCACCCAGGAAACCAAGAAATTTTCTCCCACTTTTTTCTTCACCAAGGAAAAATTGAGGCCTTGGTACTACAAAATAACTTATTGCATTGTTCTCTTTTCTTTGTGTTCTAAGAATTCCCTCCCTGCCATAATATCTTGAGCTTCTTTCTCTAGCTCTTGAAAACATAGTTTCCCAACATAATGTAGTTGAGTTGCAAGTGTTGACTAATTAAGTTTTGACACATCACCATCTTTCATGAGGTGGCTACAGCGTGCTTCATGTAGGAGGGTAAAAAAATTAGAAAGAATATAATGGGGTTTGCATTTCTTCTAACATAGGCATCCCTTGCCATCTGTTAGCCTCCATGGAGGGTGCTTCAGTGTGGGAGCGCGTGCTTTACTATGAATAATGTGGATATGATTGCAGTTTTCTCTCCACTAGTGTGTGCCTGCTTTGTTGGGAAAAGAGGAACAATCCAACGTTACACTGCATGCATAAACCTGAGAACAAAATAAGCATCTATGATGTGCAAGGTGTGGAGGAAACAGCAGTATCATCAGAAGTAGCCTATCAAGTTATTATATTACAGATCAGTTGTTAGAGTGCTTGCTTAGCATGCACAAAGCCCTAGGTTCAATTCCCCAGCACCACCAAAAGAAAAAAAAAAGAAATTAATTATGATGAAGGATATAAGCATTACTAAGTAAGCCACTTTCACTCAGCACCTGAAAACTATCTTATAAAAGCCCAAGCCCTGAAGCAAACACAAACTTTCTGAGTTTCTAGAAGAGGGTTGCAAAGAAATTCCCCCTGGAGTCAAAGAGGATACATGATATGATCTTTACAGCACCAATTGTCCTCTACCACATTTATCATTTCTGTATAGTCATTTGATTAATGCTATATTCCCCACCAGGTGAATATCCTTGAGGCTACAGATCATGTGTTTCTATTGATCTTCGATCCCCAGAACCCAACACAAGGCATAGCAACAAAAAGATATCCAATGATATTTGAGAAGTGAATGGGTCAATGAATGAGCAGCAATGTGTCCCTCTTCTGAAAGCCTGTCCCTTCCTGTCCCTTTCCCATTGCCCATCCTACAGTGTCATATAAGAGTGCATGATACACTATGGATTGTGCTGCCTGCTCCCCCCACTGTATGCTGCCTGAAGGCAGCCATCACTGACTCCCCAGCACCTTCATCGTGAACGACCTTCCATCAGTCACATTGCAGGAAGGGCAGAGTCACAAAGTATGATACAGCTGGCGTCCCTTTGATTTTGTTATGAGGGATGACATACTGAATTTATAGCAAGCATGACACAGGATCTTTAGCTAGCTGCTAGACTGATCGTTTTGTCTGTCCTGCCAAGGATAATCGGGATTCTGAATAGACAGCTGCTGTCATTGAAGAGAGCGCCTAGTTGAGTTGAGATTGGATTCCATTCTCAGACTTTTTCATTATGTGTTCTTGGCAGGTAACTGTTCTCACCGCCCCTCATTTTCTGTAACAAGGGCATTGACAAAGCCTGGTGTCCTAGTCTCACAGGGCTCTTGTGAGGAAGAAGTGAGAAAAAAGATGAAAATAATGTTCCAGAGAAAAAGTCTAAGTCACCACCGACCCCCAAGATGACGGATTTCTTCACCTCTGTGATTCATCAGAGGCATCTGGCCATTTCTGAGAAGAATATAACCATGTTCCCTTTCTGGTGAATTTGGAAATAGTTGCCTCCAAGAAGAATCACTAGGAATTACTTTTTTTATTGGATGAAAAATAAATCTAACCTAAGTTTCTTAGAAGCCCCCAAAGATCCTTGAATATAAGCATTACCTAATTAGCCATATTTAGGAAAGAAAATTCACATTGTTAGTTCAGTCTAAATAAATTTTATTGGGTTTTCTCATTGTAAAGGTAACAAGGGCTTCTGAGAGTGAATCAAGAGATCTAGAGAAGGAGGAAGGAAAAAATTTCACATAATCCCACCTTTGAGAAATAACAACTAATAATATCATACTGTGTTTCTTTCTGGTTTCTTATTTCAAGAAGTGGTTTTTCACTTACAAAAGCACACTTTATATCTTGCTTTTTACACTTCTCTGCTTTATTATAAACTCTCAATAATATCATCTCATTAACTGTAGCACTCATCTTTGTAAGATTGTTGTGAAGATGAAATGAGAGAGGGGATCCATCCTTAATGATTCTTAATGAGGGCTCAATAAATGTTGGCGGCTGCTATCATCAACAACAACATCAGTAGCATTATTAAGATTATCATCATTTGCTCATTGTTCTCTTGTGTTGGGCATGGAGGGTACTTCTGAATTTGGGATATTAATAATAAGTTCCATGCTACTAATAAGTCCTTCTTTAATAAGCTTCTCCCAAATGCTTTAAGAAGTCGTTGATTGGTTATTATTTTATCATGACTATTTAACACCATCCCCAAATTACAAGAGGTACAAAAAATATTTAGATGACATGATGCAAACAATTCTTGTTCCTGATTAATTTTTCCACTTTGAACTCTCAAGCAATGTGCACAGGTGCTATAGCTGGGATGTCAGAGAGCCTGGGAGACTTTGCCAAGCTCTTGATGCTCATATTTATGTTTCTGGCATCTACCACTTTGTTTATCCTTTGAGTGTACCTTTGCCTTCTGGTCATATCACTGAGTAAAAGCAGCACTAAATAGGAACCGACTCTGGACTCTATCAAGACAGTTCCTGCCTACCCGCATCCTATAGGACAAGAGTGGGCTCACCAGAGGGGACTTGGGAGACCCAACTAAAGCAGAAAATATATTCATAGAGGTGGCATTCCGTGAATTAGCACATGGATTCTAGATCCAAATCCCATTCCTCTTGGGTGTGTGGCCTTGGATCCATCACTTAACCTTTCTAAGCTTCATTTGTCAATGTCTATAATGGGGATAATAACAGTACTTCACTTCTAGGACTGTGAAGATTCATAGCCCTGGGTGAAGTGCCCAGTGCAAATGTCTGATCCAGAGATGAGCTCAGCAGGTGCTAGCCCCATGGTTGTTGTTATCAGTGCCACGAAGCAGCATTTCTAAGGCAGAGCATCAAATATATCAAGGATGTGCTGATATTGTAGCCTGCAAAGTGGTACCCCTTATGAAATCTTAAGGGTGAGACAAAGGGAATAGATTAAAAATGAGTAAAGATGGGAGGAGAAAGAGCAGGTCACCTGTGGAAAGAAGTTAAGGCCAGGTTTATGAAAGGTATGAGAACTTGTTTGTTTGACCAGGCTTTTATTTGGTCCCTGACAAAGGGTGGACCCATTAGCCAAAGGGTCCACTAGACACTGTCCAATTTGGATTAGACGCTGTTCAATTTTTAATTTAAAGGATAGATAGGTCAATCTCAGAATAGGCAAAAACAAATATTTCATGTAGACCAAACTAGATGATGATACCTTTATTTATTACATATAGGTTAGAGCTAATGTTGTCTTTGATTTACAATGATTATTTTTTTCTTTCATGCGTGACCCAGCCAGGTGCAGCAAATATAGTGTATCATGCTGTGTAGTAGATATAGTATATCATGGTGTCATATGGAATAGATGTGAGCTGTCTGTCTATGGGGAACAACCAGTATGAGAGGCTTTGTTCCAGATGGGTCAAGAAGGGAACAGTATAAACACCATCCCATGAAACACTGAAGAAAAACACCATTGGTGCAGTCTCGCCTCCCCCAGATGAGGAGCAGAACCTATTGTTTGGGTTTCTCTGTATGTCAGAGACCTACCTGTAGAGCCCAGTCCCAATCATAAAGTAAGTTAATTTGAAGACTTTTTTCAACTCAAAGCAATTATAAAAATCATCACATAAAAAGTTGCTTTTCACTCCATTAAGTATGGACCTTTTTTTTTTTTTAGCTAAATCAGCAGGTTCAAAATCGATTAATTCAAATAGATGACTAGCATCCCCATCACATAGTCATCAGGAAGAAAATCATATTTTGTGTAGGGGGAAAACACAATCTAGGTTTACTTTCATGTGAAGATTTAGTTATATGTGATTGTCGTCATTACCTTCTATGCATTCCTCTAGAATCCATTCCCTTCTCTACACACTCCCACTCCATCCTAATGCAGACCATCCTCTGGTTCGAAGACACTGTATTAATTTTTTAGTTGATATGCTCCCCTTGTTATTCCAATTCATCCTCCATTCTCTCTATCCAGAGGTTTTCAAATTAGAATCTCCTCACCTCCAACACTATCTCTAACACTAGGTAAAACCTTTAAGAAGTGTCCTACAGTGTTCAGAATAAAGACAAAATCCTTTACTATGGTCCTATTGGAGACTCTCATTGAACCTTGAACTCTTCCTTTGTAATTCTGATGAGAGTTCTAATTTTATCATTTCGTGATTATTTAAATGTGACTTGTCTCCTCCCGCTATACCTTAACTCTACTGGGCTAGGGTCTGTATGATTTTACCTACTCTCTGGGACCCCTTTTATGAGGAGGCAAATAATAAGTGTCAACCAAAGCACAGTGTGTTAGCCTTATGTCATTCAGATAAACCCATAAAGTGATCAACTTGTAAAGAGAAGTAATTTGTTTTGGTTTGGAGATTTCAAACCATGACCCATTTTCTTCCTTGTTTTGGGCCTGTGGGGAAGCAGCACTTTGTGGTGGGAGTGTGTGGAGGAACCAAATTGCTTACCCCATGGCCAGAAAGCCAAAGGGGAAAGAGGTAGGGGCTGGGGTCCTACTAGCTCATGGAGGGTACATCCCCAATAACGTACCTTCCTCCCTCTGAGCCCCATTTCTTAAAGGTTCCACCACCTACCAGTAGTGACACGCTGGGGACCAAAACTTTAACACATGGGCCTTTGGGGGACATTCTACATCCAAACTATGGCAAAGTTGCTATCATTTTTGCTACTATTGTGGCCATAATTACTACCAAATAATGATCACTATTACTTCTATTATTATTCTGGAATCTGATTAAAGAAGTCTTCTATCTACTCAAAGCATAAATTCTTAGTAGACAGCAACCACAAATCTCTCTTTTACTTTCCTTTACCATGTCTGCTCCTTATGGATAACTTAAGTGTATTTTAAAATAATATAGATGACAGTATCATCAACCATCCCAGTTGAATCAATAATTCAGGAAATGTCTGGGAGTTTCTGAGGTTCCAAATTTTGGAGATGTCTTTATTTTACTAGATTTAGAAATATCACATTCATCGCATCAATTTCATTTCCTTCTGTGGTGTGAGCAAAGGAGGTTATTCTTAGTAACTAGAAGGTGACAGAGGTGGTGGAGGAGGTGGAAAACTTTCCTTATTTGGGTGATAATTGCTCACAGTTTATTCAGCATTATTATTGAATTAGTATTGAAAAGGTAATTTCATGCTTCACGAAGTGGCAAATTTGATTCATATGCTAGGAAGGCAAAAGAACAAATGTGATATTGACAGTAATAATTACATCCAACCCTAAAAAAAAAAAAAGGTAACGTAAACAATCCACACCACTCTGGCATGAAGACCTTCTCTCACCACCTTCTGGTTGACTATCTAAGGACATTATCACACAACAGAAGTCCCTTCGCCAGAATTTATTGGCCTGATCTTCTTCTAAGTAATAGATTGTTAATTTTTTATTTGTTGTGCTCAGGTACAAATTTGTTACCTGCTAATGTACAATGAATAAATTATGCATGTTTACTTACATGTACATGTGTATAAGTTAGAGACATTCTTTGCATCCTTAAATTGACATACTCCATACTAGTTCTGGGCCGGCTTTGATTTTATAAATAAATATATATAAATAATATATTCATTTATTTTTATTATTAATTGATTGATTGATAGATTGATTTTTTTTGATTCCAGAGATTGAATCCAGGGGCACTTAACCACTGAGTCATATCCCCAGCCCTTTTTATTTTTCATTTTGAGACAGGGTCTCACTATATTGCTTAGTGCCTTTCTAAACTGCTAAACCAGGCCTGGAACTCGCAATCCTCCTGCCTCAGCCTCTTGAGCCACTGGGATTACAGACATGTACCACCATGCTCATGGCTTTGATTTTAAAGAGCTTTGATCCTTGAGGAAGGGTTTGTGGGAGCACAGGCTTGCCTCAGCTCAGATTCCCTCCCGGTCATTCATTCCTTCATTCTTGCTGTTTACAGTTGGGTTCTGATTTTTTTTTCAGTGATGCTTCTACTAAATAGATGTTTCCATCTGAAGAACTTTCTTCAGACTCACCTATGTGTTCTCCTAGAAGAAGGCTTTTTCTCCTCCTTGGAGTTAATCTAATCCCCAGGATAATTCATTTGATTAATTTAAGAAGCAGCTTTTATGTTAGCCAATCCCCAAAAAACCAAATGCCAAATGTTTTCTCTAATATAAGGAGGCTGATTCATAGTGGGGTAAGGAGGGGGAGCATGGGAGGATTAGATGATATCTAGATAGGGCAGAGGGGTGGGAGGGGAAGGGAGGGGGCAGGGGGTTAGAAATGATGATGGAATGTGATGGACATCATTATCCTAAGTACATGTATGAAGACACAAATTGGTGCAAATATACAACCAGAGATGTGAAAAACTGTGCTCTGTATGTGTAATATGAATTGTAATGCATTCCACTGTCATATATAAATTTAAAATATTAATTGTTTAAAAAGCAGCTTTTATATATTAGCCATGGTATTTATTGTGGGTACGATTGTTGGAATCATGGTCTCAGTGTTTGATATGACAGTTCAGAAATTTCTATTAGACTTTCTATCAGAGTATCAATGCTTGGAAAAATGGTAGTTCTGAAAGATGTGGCAACTGTGTACAAGGTTGCATGGTTTTGGTGACCACTGTACTGGTACCATCTGCCTTCTTGCTTTGACCACTACGATGCTCAGTGCTGGATTTATAACTCATCCAGCCCTAGAAAAATGCCCTGGGTTTATGTGACTCTTCAGGTCATCTCACCACCTGAACCTTATCTTCCTTCCATCTTGATTGATATATCTATTTTGAATAGATTTTTAAATTGCAAAAGTAATGTTACATATTTAGGTTTAAAAAAGAGGGTTTTATAAAGTTAAGCACCAAGGATCACTGTCTAGGGAAAGTCATTGTTAACAAGTCAGTATTGTTTATTATTTTAGACTTTTCTCTAAACATATGTGACATATGCCCCTTAATGTATGTATGTATATATATATATATATATATATATATATATATATATATATACATAT